CAAATAAAATATTCCAGTTGAGGACTCTTTCTACGAAACTTTGTAAGGAAGGGGTCAGCCACTTAATGTGCTATTGTTAACTACACCGAAAATTGGAGTATTGTAGTGCCTATCGGAATCATTCGGTAGTACAGTCGCGTTCATTGGTACCTTGTTACTTTCAACTGACTTGAACGTCGTCGCCTTTGCAAATAAACAATAAAGATCTATGTTTTGATCACATAAACGATATAACCTTTACTGTATCCTTGAATATTGATCCTGTATTAATTAAAATACTTATTGTTACATTTGTCGAACTTTATTCTTTCATAGCGTATGAGGTGTTAAAACGAGTGTCGTTATTAAAGTAAAACACCGCGAACGACAGTGAGTGTACATCCGACCGCGCGGGGCTCACGCCCTCACGCCTCGACGCCTGGAATTAGGGAAGTACGTACATGTCATTACAAATGATCATGCCTTCACTTACATGATACTATGTACAGGTGGATAGTGTATGTTAATTGTGTTCCCATTGTCAGTGTCCTTATATTGTTGTTCCTATTGGCTTGCTATTCTAAGGAAAACAAATAAATTGATACTGAAGTTGTGTTTGTATATGATACAAGCATTCAAAGAAGTAACATTCGGTCAGCTAACATTCTATACAAGACAATCTTCAAATCATCTTAAAGCGTACGTTCAGAATCAGAGCCCTTTCTTTACAACTCCGAATTCGGCGATGGAATTTGACGAGATCTTCTCAACAATATCGAGCGTTTGACAGTTACGGTGGCATCGCCTTTAATAGAACTCGAGACTCGGGCAAAGTGCAGGCGCATCACGCGAACTACCGGGGTCTATCGCAGCGGGCGCTATCCACTGGCGGGCCGGTGCAGGCTGTGCGGCAAATGTCGGCGTCGCGGGGCCAGTGTACGGCGTGCCATAGGAACGTCGGAGGAGAGGCGCGTGGAGGAGGGCGGGCGCAGGGCACGAGGCACGCTCGGAATGTGCGGCCCTCGGCGCCGGTTTACAAATAGAAGGGCCGCTAGCGCGGACTGCACGTGTGATACATCGGTGCGATCGATCCGTTAGCGCCGTCGAGTGCGCCCGCGCCTGCGCCCGCTGGTGTCCGCGTACTCACCACGTTATACGACTGTCATTAATTGAGACATCGGCGACATCCGCAAGGAGCGCGTGCTTGCATTGCGAGCGATGCGTACGGTGCGTACTATATACCGTGCTATCGGCCTCGCGCCCGTGCCGTCCTAGTGATCCGGGAAGAACGGTAGAAAGCATGTGAATGACATCTCGAAGGGTCGGTCGTCGGGCAAAAGAAAGCGGGCGGCGGCCCTGCGTGCGCTGACCCCGGCCGGACGTCACGGCTGAGAGGAGCCGAGAGCGGCGCGCGCTCCCGCTCTCATTACCCGAGGAATCCGATCGCCCGGTGCGAATTCTCCTGGGCCCTTCGGACTCTTGCCTCGCCTCGCCTAGCCTTGCCTCGGCTGCCTCGCCTCGCCTCACCTTCCCTCACCTGCCTCGCTTCGCCTTCTCGGAGTGTGCTGCTAACTTTATAACAGTTACGCCTTCAGGTATGTCACTTTACAAATTTATAAATGTTACATATTTTTAAATGATACATACGACATATAAAACATAGAGGCAGTCGAAAAATTGTAAACATAAAACTTCAGATTTAATTAAGTCGGACCTGCGGCATTAGAAATTCCTTCCAATTTTTAATTATCCGTCACATTATTGAACTATTTTCTCCAACTTCACAACTGGAATTGGATTAAATCTACTCTATTTTTCCTTTAAAACTAAATACTCAATTTAAAAAAAGGAATTTAACCTAATTTAGCAATACAATAGACCTTTATCGTGGTTTTACGGTTGACATTTACAACATTCATGTTCCTGGCAACACTGAAGAATTGACCGTTAAGTTTAAATTAAACATTATTTCTGTTTTACCTCGACTTGTTTAAAGTACTAAATAAAATACTGTTAATGTATAAAAATTTACAATTTATGAAAAAAAAAACAGGAAAAAATATAAATTATGTTAGTAATATTACGTATTATTATTATTCTAATATGTTATATTCTACATAATTATTGGTTATTGTTATTTAAATTATTTGTAATAATTTACTTATATTAAATAATTAATTAATAAAAAAATATTGATAAAATTGTGATAAATTTACATGTTCTTTTTTTATTACAATATCCCATAGTAAATAGATAAAATATTTTAAAGAAATCATTTGGTAACTTTTGTAATTATATCTTTCAACCAAAAAATTTTATTTGGCATTTTAATATGTTACAATTTAATTAAAATTATATCTTTTATTTAAGAGTTAATAAAATTATTATCGTTGCTTATTTAATTTATAAATAATTTAATTACAAGTAAGAATATTATTTTAATTAATTAGATAAATTTGAAATAATAAAAATATTGTATTTAAAAATGATTTAGGTATTTACAAAATACAACATTGATGGTAGTTTGAAGAATTTAGAAAAGTCGTTGTTTTTATCAGAGTGTCAAAGTAGGAGGCCAAGATTAGATATAAATTTACAGTACATATACAGCCCTATGTTGTGATAAGAATCTCGGATTCCAACAATACTACGCCCCAAATAATATATATATATATATATTCTAAACAATTTTTATAACTAAATAATATTAATAAATTAGGCAAGAAATATTTTAAAAAATTAAATTAAATATTCTATCGTCTTCCGAGCCGTTGTATTAGTTCTAAAGAAAATATTTAAAATGTAAAAAAAAAAAAATGTTTTTTTATTTACACAAAAAATACAAATTTTCTAATTACTATAACTAATTTAATAAAATATATGTGTTATCAATAGCTATGTAAAATTAGTTTTGAATGTGTTTTATATGTTTATAAAAATATAATAAAGTAAAAGATGGTATTGCCAGTGTCAAAATAATGTGTGACAGTCGGGTGTTGCGCGCACACGCCATTCGCATAGATGCCGGTGCGTCTGGCAACACTAGGACGCACTTTTCGCGCATTTTTTATGCTTTTTTCGATTCTAGTACTCAGCGCCTATAAGGGCTCCACAAAAAATTTAATATTTTTAAATATTTTCTATAAAATATGGTCAATTTATGAACACCATGGAGGAGCCCGCTCCGAGATTGATCTTTCAGTTAAAAATCATGAAAATAATTTCTTTAAAGTAGTTTTATCGTTGCATTTTAATATTTTTCAACATTATTAATTAATAATGATTGTTAAAATTATCGAAATTATTTTAATATTAAAAAAATGTGGAACAAATGGCCAAAAATCATACTGCCTGAGTCCAGCTCTAGTGTTTGTTTGCTTAAATGTAAGTGATTATGACCATTTAAATTATTATTTTAATTGTAAATATTATTAAAAATGTATTATAATTTTTAATAATAAATAATTATTTTTTTATCTAATTAATAAATTATTTTAACTTGGTCGTTAACTAATTGAGATACCTAATTCTCCTGACCTATAAAACTCATGCAATACTAAATATTAAAAATAAATAACTTCAATATAATTTATTTCAATTAATTTTTAAATAAATATTATAATATTTTATTTAATGAAAATGTAATTTTCATAAAATATTTAAAAAATATATTTTTTTTAATAGCAAAACTTTAGTGATTTTGCTTAAGCAATAATTTTGTTATAGTTATATTTTCCAAATATTAATTATTTATTTTATTGTATTAATTAAAAAGAAATTAATTCAAGAAGTGTTGCCAGAAGTAAAGTATATTTTTATATGTAAAAATTGTAATATTTCGGTTATATTGTATTTAGTCAGTAGCTGAAGCAATTATTCTATTATTTTAACGTCTTACAACTTTTCTTTATTAGTTTTTTTCTTTGAATATATATTAACGATTTAATATGACATAAAATTAATCCTTAATGTGGTAATAATATAAGACCAAAGAATTTAATATCTTGATGTCTTTCTCTATTTTTTTTTTCTTAAAAATTTTCGTAACTAAGGCTCACTTTAAATTTTATTACACTTTTGTTAAGTTTGAGCTTGTTTTTATAATGAGAACATGTTGCACTATTGAAGTCTTTAGTAAAATGTAAATATCATCTATAAAATGTTTGTTAAATAACTATATCATATTTGAAATTCTCCCACATACTTAGTATAGTATATTAGTTTACTCTAATGTAAAATATAATATCATGTATAGACATGGGTAGTGTAAGACTGACAAGGTATATTCAATGACGGCGTCTCGGTCGTCAGCGCGCGCCGCTCGCCGTTCGCCGCGCGCCGCTCGCCACAAAACCAATAATACTTTCGGCAATCACAACATTATTGTTTTATATACACGGTGACATACACAATAAAAGTGTGTCAAAACTTACTTAACAGATTCTGCTTTAAACGTATATATATAGTACGTATATCTTTTATCTACTGAGTGTTTCATAGTACATTTGTTTTAGAACAGTTACCTAACTCACAAATAAAAGTTATTATCAATTTTCTTAGACAATCGATCTGTATAATAATGGTCTTAGGTTTGAAAGTAATGAACTATTTTGTGAAGACGGTGTGAGGTGTGAGGGTGTGGGAGCGGACAGGGGCCACGTGGCGCGGCCACGGCGACGCTGCATGTCAGTTTTCTGGAAAAATTGTCAAAAGTAGCACAGCGGCGGCGGCGGCGGCGGCGACGGCGGGCGATTCGCGGGCGCGCTTGTGTGCGCGCGCGGCCGCTGCACGTGTGTGCGTGCGCGTAAACTGAAGGTCGAATATTTTGTCCCTACTCCTCGGTCTATTGGCGTTCACGAGTCGGCGCTGTGATAATGAGGCGTCGCCGTCCCGCTCGCGCGGGCGGCGCGACCCGCGGCCTGAGCGGGACGGCCGGCGGCATGCGCGTGCGCCGGAGCCTCCGCCGGCGCCGGCGCGGCCTGCCCTCATCAGTCTCCCCGCGGCGGGGAAGCGGTGCGCGTGTGCGGCTCCGTGGTCGCTCGTCGTCTCCGAGGACCGAACGAATATTTTTAGATAACGGCGCGAATAATTTATTCGCGAGTTAGCAATCGCGCGCACTTTGGCGAGCGGCGGCGGCGCATGCGGGCCGACGGGCGCGCGACCGGCCAGACGCGCCCGTAGGTAAGCTGCGCACGTCCTGCGCGCCGCCATGTTCGGCGGGAACGTCACTTCCGGCGGACGGAACCGAGCCCGTGGCCCGCGAGCGCTCAGGTCAATGAGCGACGGCTCTCGATTCATAAAATGTCGGTCGTTCCATTCACGCCGCGGCGCGATGCTACGCCGACCGCTCACTCGTGACCCTCGCGTCTTCGAATATTCATGTCTCCATCGATAACATCCTAACCTCTGACTTCTTTTTGTATTATCGGGTGTTGTTGTGCGAGCGCCGTCGGCGCACCGAGCCGCCGCCGCGCTGGGCCCGCGCCAACCGCCGACCGCCGAGCGCCGCGAACGCGAGTGTCGTTACGTCCACCGAGCGGTGTCCGCTTGCTGTGAAATTATGTGCAAAGTGACTTCAATTGTGGTTTTGCGCTTTTTATCAATGGATTTTACATACGATGGCGTAAGATTGAAACTGTTTTCTTTATTTTCTCTCTTTTACTTGTTAATTATCGTTTGGGGCGGATCTCCGCTAAGGCAATTTTCCTCTTACCCTCATTACCGGGCAAACATTGAAATTAATGTTGATAATAGTTACAATTTTATTTGGAATTGCAAATATTAAGATTGCTTTCCCTTTGATCTTTCAAAATGTTTTTTTAATAAATAAAAAAATAATCTATTGTTTTGTTGCTGGCGTAGATACCTGTAAATAAAGAGTGTCTAATTAAGCACAAATTGTCAATGAATGAAATGACAAACGCGAGCGATTAGCGCAAATATAGGTGGCCGCGGTCGGGCCGCCGCCGCCCGGCCGCCTGCCGCGCCGCGCTCTGCTGACAACTGCCTCTATCTGCCTAGTGCATACTGCATAGTGCTCAGTGTCGACCATAACTACAGCTCTATACTTTGTCTATAGTTTATCCACTTCCGTAAAGTTATACTAAGATGTGTTTTGAATTTCACAAGTTCATAAAGTTACATTAAGTCACGTTCATAATTGACTTATGCCTTATAATATTCATGTCGATAAATGTATCCTGTATGATTTTATACCAAGTTGTCCTTAGAAAAAGAGATTTTGCATAAGTTGCTAAGTCATGTTTAATTCAATTATATTTAAGTAATACACGGAAATTACAAAACAAAGAAAATTAAAGTTAAGCTTGTGAGATAACAACTTTTCATTAGAAATAAATTAAAATTATAAAAGAGATGTCAATTTTATAATGCACAAGTTTTATTATTCAATTTTATTATTATAATGCTTTATATTCACTTGTTTCATTATGATAAATGTTCTAAAAATATATATTTTAACAAACTTTGTGTTTTTTTATCAATTGAATTTTATATGAATGAACTCAAGTTCCACCTACCAAGCTTGTGTTTAATTGTAATTTAATTTACTGTTATATGTCAATTATGCTTTTATAATTATTCAAACACATTTTTTATTTTTTTATTTTAATTTTTAAACTACTCGTGGATACCACTTATCAACAATCGTTTCGTTATCGAATTTGAAAGCTGTGCACTCAAAAAATTTCGCTTTCTGTTCGAGAATTCCGCGTAGAGGAAATTAGCGGGAGAATGTGAGTAGGAAGGAATGAGTCAGGTGCGCGACGTCACCGGCCTGACTCACGGCGATGACGTCGGCACCCACTCGCCTCAGCCGCCGCCGCGCAGCTGCCTGCCCTCACATCACACAGTGTCGACCATCTACCGTACATTATTTAGGCTGCGACACCCACGAGCCCGAGCGGCTCCAGCGCCTCCGCTTCCGGCGGCCCCTCATTGCGGTGTCGCAAGCGTTTCCTTTGCTCCTGCCGTCGTCGTCGCCGTCGCCACGATGATAGGGATAGTTTTGAGACTCAAACGCTAAGTAGCACCAGCGAGCCGAGCTTATGCAAACGGAAATAGATCATTTTGTCAGAGAGGCCGATCGCGTTTTGGACATTGGCAATGATGGCGGCGGCAAGTCTCTGCATCGCAAAGCCGTCGGGACGTGCGGGTCGGCACTCGCCGCTCGGGACTCGGTCCCACGATAACGCATCGAAGGGTCGCTCCACAAAAAGCGATCATTATAAAGGACGTAAAGACCGCACCGGCGCCGAGCCTTCCCAGAACTGGGCCCATTCTTATTTCGCGCTCCCGCCTTATTCACGGGGATTTTTTGTTCCTTTTTGGTTATATTTTTTTTGTTGCGCGAGCGGCGCTCTCGTGAGAGCTTCGAGGAAACGGCTTATTGGGTTTCGTACAGGAGATGGGGCTTATCTCGAGGCGTCGATCGGCGCGCCGGCCTGGGAACGTTACGCTCGCAGCTCGCAGGACCGTTAGTCGCATTCCACCGCCGCTTCGTCGCCTCGTCGCCGCGCCGGCGCCGCAAAACCCTCGTGTCGTCACGTCACCGGGACGCGGTCGTGACACGCTAGACAAACACATATTCTGCACGGCCTGCAAACAACAAACGACGTGACAAATGTTGTATCCGAGATAAAGATCCCACATAGAAAGGGTAAATTTAAAATTTAACATTTTTTAAATTCTTTTTCAGACGTAAATCAACTAAGAATATATGATATTATGATTCAACTTTAAATAATAATTATATTTTAAAACAAAACGAACCAAGAAATAAAACACCATAAATAATATATTATAAGTATACTTAACACAGAGTTTTACCAGATATCAAGTGACCATATTAAGGCAATGTATCAACTCAACCTCCTTAAGCTTGATATAAACTTGTGTTTAGCCGTTTTTAATTAGTTTATAATAATGCCTCATACATGTTTATACAAAACTCAAACTCTAAATACATCTACTTTCTTTTAGAAAGAATTCAGAGCTAGGTTTATGACACCTCACTTGTTAGAAAACAGAATGCTACTACTGCATACCTCTTGACTTCTGACTGAAGAGACCGCATATGTAGTTGTAATCAAAGTAGAATTTCTCGATTAAAAGTTTTTTTCCGTCCTACTTTTTATATGGGTAGGTATATCGTTAATAAAATGAACATAGTAACTAATGAGTTACTAATAGGTACAAGGAAAAATTAAATCGTTTTGATAAAATAAACTGTTCACGCCAACCTTTGAATAAATCCAGTGTTGGTGTGCGATTGTTCAAGTTGCCTCCTGTAACCTGGTGGAGCCTGTTCATGCAGCAGTGGACATTGCTGCAGTCTTTTACTTTTGCTTTATGTCGCTATACATTTAAAACCTATTGATACGACTTGAAATTTGAAATTGTTACAAAAAAAACACCATTTAGGTATATCATGTTCGTTATAATCAATTAGGTCGTTTGTTTGTCAAACCATTTAATTATAATTATTAGTGTTGTAGTCATGATTATTTTTTGTTATTTCCAGCGTAAAGAAGTGAGCGACGAACAAGTCATCAACCACGGGCCCAGCTTCACCGCGGTCGCGCCGGGGAACACCGCGTCAACTTAGAGTACGTATGCACTGAATTCGTAAATATACACTAAATTCTTCCGGTACAATGAAGTAATCGGTCGACCGTCAGTATACTCATGTAGTTTAGAAGTAGAAGGTGCTCCCACGGGTCACGGGCCCTTATCGAGGGCAAAGGGAAGTTATAAATCTGTCGGCGCGAACAATAGAGCGATAAGGTGCACCTTGCGTCCGCGCCGATAGCGAGCCTACCGCGCCCTGCGCCCCGCCGCCGCGCCGCGACCTGCCGCCTCAGCGGCCGCACCCCCGCCCGCCTGCTGGCCGTCGCCGCCAGGGCGCACGGCAGCCCGCCGACCCGGACACGGCTCTCGGTCGATAGCTCGCCAGGCGATAACGTGGAGGTGAGGAAAACAGAGAGGTCGGCAATACGCGGTGATCTTATCGGTCATCGACCTTCGCGCCTAAACCGAGCCTCACATCTTGCTCGGCCTGCGCGCTCCATTCGAACACTAAATTTCAGGAACGAAGCGCCCCGCACAATACGATTTTTATTAACTCGCCGATTGAAGATTGCTCGGTACTCTCTGCGCTTGCTTCGAATGCTTATTATATTTATGGCGTGCTCCCGTAGCACTGCCGTCCCTAACTCGTTATGCGAGGAACATCGGCGGACGTATAACGGTTTCTATCGCAGAGTAACAAGTCTAAGTATACTTACATTTTCTAAAAATCAATTTCTGATGGTGAAAATATATAAATATACTATCGAGTCGAACATCACAGCGTATCTCAGGAATTCGTGGACGCCGAGCCGGCGCCGATGAAACCTTGACCCGTTTACCCGGTGAGCCGGCGGTGCGCATACAATGGACTATTCCGCGACATCCGAGCCGACACATGAGCCAACGCGCCCCTCGCGCGCGCCCGCACCCGCACCCGTGCCCCCGCCGATCGCGGAGAACACGGCGGTGCAGCACCAGCGGGCCAGCGCTCAGCGCAATGTCGACTGTAACGATTATGAAGGCGGAACGAACCTGATTGAATCTCCGAGCCGCGCTCAATAAAACATACCGACGACTTCGACCTACTGCATCGCCACCACTTACCTCTGTAGTATTTTACAGATAAAACTGAAATCAAAGGGAAGCATCACTTTGACACAAAGTAACATGCTAAATGCAAAATGCTCAAACAAAACGCACAGGGTTTTTACAATCCTTTTATACCTATTATTATTTCATAACACATTTTAATGATTATCCGGATATTAATTAAATGATTCAGATAACAATTTAATGAAATACTCATTAAAACAAAATAACTCAAATAAAAAATGGAACAAATGATGAATGTTTGTCATTTCGTAGCACCGTAGGCGCTGCGTAGCACATGACTTTTTGCATTAGCATTTATTTTAATCAGCTAATCTTCTGTTGAACGGTAGGGTTAAGTGAGCTGCGCATTCGCTACATCTGGATGCAACTTAATGAACATATAAGAACACACAAACACGGAGTGAGGACAGGCAAATTACATATGAAAATGCAGTCGGCAGCACGAACCCCACCCTCTGTCACGTCTACAACCTCACGCAGATCAGCGGACGCTTAAAATTTATCCTTCATAACTTATTAATTCCATACGCAGCAAATTACTATCCTTAAAGAAACGTCGACATTATTCGTAGATATTCATTGCATATTTGTACAGTATAAAAATATTAATGTTAACCCTAGATACACATCTCTATCAGATCCCAATGGTAGAGATGTTATAAGGCATGAACCATGATCTAAAATAAAATAAAATAACTTTACAAGGAAAGACATCGGAAACGTATCGTGTCTGACGGAAGTGGAGTACGTTGTGTGCAGAGGCGAGACATTCGGTTAATAGCTCCCCCAGACAGCGAGTTGCTTATTAATTATGAACGCGGTGGGCACGCATTTATCGACCTTATCTCCGGTGCGCCCTCGTCCTCGCGCCGCGCTGCGCC